ATTCGCGAGCACGGACGCGGGTACAGACGCAGGCGCAGACGCGGACATGGACCCTACACCGATTCCTACTGTATTTTGCCTCACTCGATCCGGCGTGGCATTTCGTCGCACCTAACCAGCCTAATCGAGACAGCGCGAAGGCTGCGACCTTGAGCCAAAGCTCCAACGGCGGTAACCCGAGCCACCGGCACGCCCGCCGCAGACGCGCCGGCTTGGAAATCGTCACTTGGCCTTTCACTCAATGACGACCTTGGGGGACCTGGGACCATAACCCCCCCATGCCGGCGCGATGTTACCGATCCGCCGCAGGTAACGTTAATCCTACTGAAGCTCATAATTGAATAATTTGGGGGTATGTCGGGACCCCCCAACCCGGCGGCCCTTCAGGCACGCTGCCTCATGAGAGGCGAGGAGATGAAAAAGAACAAGAAAAAGTAGAAGAAGAAGAAGAGGAGAAGAAAAGGGTCGCAGTGGAGAATGGTCAGAGCCATGCCTATACCGCATTACTCCCCTTCGAACCTGAAAAAGTAAAATACCCTCTGTTCCGTCGACTCTGCCGCGGGGAGCGGAGGGCCCGGTAGGTTGCTGCAGCGGTCCCTACCTCCCCTCCCTGCATCAAGGATGCAGTGAAGGGAGGCGGAATGCGATAGGCCGCCAAGGATAGGGGAGAAGGGAAGGCGTTTGGAGAGTTTAGGTTAGCGCCGCTAGCGCCATGGCGGTCCCGCCTAGGTTCGACGGCCGCGGCGCCGAGCCAATTACGTGCTCGCGGCAAGCTATGTTTTCTGCTGTACCTGAAAGAGAAGAACTTCCGGTTCCGTCGCCCCGTCCGCCGAAGCGGAGGGACGCAGGGCCCGGTAGGTTGTTAAAGCAGCCCATGCCCCCCCCTTGCATCACGGATGCAACGAGGCGGGGCGAAGGGCCACCTAGGGTGAGGGAAAAGGAAGTTGGTGAATTGGGTTCTTCGCCGCTAGCGCCATGGCGGTCCCGTCCAGGGCCGACGGCTGCGGCGCCGAACCAATTATGTGCTCGCGGCAATGCTGTGTAGTTCTCTGCACCTGAAAAAAAGAGCCCCCGGTTCCGTCGACCCTGCCGCCGAAGCGGAGAGACGCAGGTCCCGGTAGGCGGCGAAGCAGCCCCTGCCTCCTCCCCTACATCATCGATGCAGCAGAAGGAGGCGGAGGGTGATGGACTGCTGCAGGGTGGGATACCTCTCCGAGAGGTGTAGGGAAGGGAGAAAGATGGCGGAAGGTAGCGACGCGACTGGACGGCACCTTTTCCGGTACAAATACCCGGCCCAACTCGGCTGTCTGCACGGATTTCATACCGCTCGAACCGCTCAGGTACCGGTGCTACCAAGTCGTCGCCCTGTTCCACTCCCTCTGGAAAGGGAAGGAAGCGGCACGGCCGGGAAGCACTCCTGCTCGCCCCAGTGCTCGGACAGTGTGGACTGTCTCTGCGGATTTCATACCGCTCGAGTTCTCCGGACACCGGGGTTCGCGGGGGGCGCCACCGTTCCCGTTACCGCTGGGAAAAGCCTTTCTTGGCCCCACGTCTCACCATGGACTAGGCACGTGGGCGGAGGGAAGAGTCCGCCCTTTGGGGCGCACGGACAGCCAGGGCCCCGTGGGCCGTCTGGACGTGGCGGCGTCCAGACGTTGCCCGACCTTCACCACGCGGAGGTGGGGTTGGCTAATGAGAGCAGCGGGGGATGCTCGAGGCATGCCTATATCACGCCGCTCCCTTTGAGAGTCGCCAAATTCCGCAATGGCACGGTGGTCTCGGATCGGTAAATTTCAATGGGATCCCTCTACGCCTCTACGCCTCGGCTTATCTGTTGATATGCTCGGGTGGCCGGATGCCGTTATGCGCGGTGGCGTGATGCATCGCGGTGCGATGATGTCATACTGAACGCGTTCGTTCGTGTCTAAGCGAGTTCGCTCCGCGAATATTCTTATACTATAGGGTCGTACAATAATTATGGTTTCTTAATTTGTAGAAAATAATAATGACAATGTACATTTCTATATATTCTTCCGCTAATCCCCTCGTCATGTATGGCTTTCTATTAATTATTTCCCTGCGGGTGTATATCAGTTGGACACGGGGCAATTGGACACAGTCCAATCACAAGTCGCTGTTCCAAGGGACCCTACAAATGTCTCTAATCACACGGTGCTGTGATTGGCTGTGTCCAAATGCACCGTGTCCAAGTGCACCGCTCCCTTTCCCTGCTCCTTATATGTGTGCCATTAACACTACTGACATACTAGATTTTAATTTTAGCCGTCTTTGACGATTGAATTAGTAAGACTCGTCGTTGGAATAAAATATTTCGTGTACTACTTCTCAGGTTAGCGCAAATCGGCCTCAGGTCAATGTGGTATTTTAGCATCGCAGTGGTCGTAAAAATTTAAAGATTTTTGGGACCTGGGAGCTGAGACGTTACAAAGAACGGTAATAAAACGGTAAAGAAACGGTAAAAAACGGTAAAGAACGATAAAGAACAGTAAAAAATTGTAAATAACGAGAATGAAACAGTAAAGAACGGTAAAAACGGAAAAGAAACTGTAATGAAACGATAACGGCTACCAAAAATCGTATAAACGATTACCGAAACGGTATATTCCAATATTTATATCAAAAGTGCAGTCCAAAAATATTCATGTAAGATCTCTGTCTCTCTCTCTTATGCATCACAATGTAGCATTTTAGTGCTGTCGCATCGATTTGTGGTTGACAGTAAGATGCGCAGAAAATGTGAAACCAGATATTATCATGAAAATCATAGAAGTATGCATATTTTGCACGTTTTGAAACATATAAAATCATATGTATTACATCGGCGCATAGTTCAGTCGAGACCCAAGCAGCAACAGATACGGGGACACAAGCAACAAATTGAGCAACAAAATGAAGAATAAATCAAGAAAGATATCCATGGTGCAGTTTTTGCGTGACAGAGAACTCGGTTTGCGAGGAATAAACAATGTGGTGTGAAGGAAAATGTTAAAGTTATCAAGTTCTAATCTCTAAAAAGTTGGCTTCATAACTTAGTGCAGGAGCATGCCAATCAGATAGTGGAAAATGCACATATGATTACGACTGAGAATGCAAGTGAGAGAAACACTAAATTGAATGAGCTTGTAATGCACCCAGACATCAGAATGCTAAAGAACTATAACCTTCAAAATTTCTATATAAAAATTCCAGCAGTTAGTGGCAAGTTTACACGTATAGTGTTCTTTCATGACATACATTTATATGATGATTTGTTGATTGCTGATTTGCCAATTTTGATGATAGAGCGACACGATAAACGCGAACTTTTTATGTGTTACCGAGACAGTTTACAGTGGCCAAAAATAAATAAAATTAGTTGGGACGATGAGTGGAATGAATTTATGCTTTACACCAATAAAATACAACGGTGTCCGTATAGTGAGTCGAATCTGATCCTCATGTTAACACATTAATTGACAGATTGAACGATAAATTGAGAAATTCTCAGTGTAATCTTAAGTATCACAATGCAACATTTTTTGTGCTGACAATGTGTGGATGTGGATGACTGCGTGTGCGACATATGATGTTACTATTAAAGAACACGTTAGGCTATGCTGATTTTGCACATTTGCAACCCTCTCCAAACGAGGCATGTTTGTTAGACCGAGATGGTGATGGACCATATAAAAGTCATCCAGGAGTCGCCGACAAATAGTCAAAGTTTGAGTCGTGTACGCGGAATTCGAGGTGGTGTTAATTCCGCTTCCGCCGGTACACCCAGCGCAGGGCTCGCGAACATGGGCTGATTACCAAGGACCGACTTGTGATTGTGATAATTTAATAAAGTGCGATAGTTAAACTTAATACAGTAATATCAACTTTTATTGTTGGATTACAATAGCCACAAGTGACTCTTACACACAAACAGACTTTGCGAGAAACGAGCGGACACGTGAGGAAGCAGTCGTTACGGCTGAGATGAGATCGTGGAGTCAAATTTCGTTATGAGATCGGGATACTGGCTTCGTGATCTGATCGCTCGACTTCTTGCGCAATCATTTTATAAGTGTCGCGTCGGCTACGCTGGCCGATCTCAATGGTTCCGATGTCGCGAAACCGTCGCTAGAGTTAAGCGAGATCTTATTATGGTCGAGACTCGGCTCTGAAAAACGATGATGTAGCGTTATTGTGGTGTGCTGCCGATTCCACGTAATCGCGCCGAGATTCGCCGAATCATGTTTTGATTCAGCAGCACAACACATCGCTCGTGAGACACTGTTGTTATGCGGTCTCCTAGCTCATTTGGTCTTATTATTCGAATGCTTCAAGAATATTCCTAGAGAATATTCCAGAAGCAATTTGAGGTAACCGAGCCG